GATCATTTTCGCCATTTGTCTTGTTTTCCCCATTTACGCCGTTTAGATCATTTTCGCCATTTGTCTTGTTTTCCCCATTTACGCCGTTTAGATCATTTACCCCGTTTTCCGCATTTATTCCATTGAGACCATTTTCACCATTTATTTCGTTCAAACTGTTTACACCATTTACAGAATTTTCACCATTTACACAATTTTCACCATTTACCCCATTTATATGACTTGTACCATTTATACCATTTTCACCGTTTATTCCTTTTACACCATTCATTTTACAACATTTTTCACCCATGGGACAGGCAAACTCTTTCGTAAAGGTTTTATATCCTTCCAATATCGGACGATAGCCTGTACATCGGCACAAATTGCCTTGAAATGCTACCTCTAAATCATGCATTGTTGGTTGAGGGGCGTTTCTTAACAAAGCATACATTGACATAATAATGCCCGGCGTACAAAAACCGCATTGACTGCCATGCGCTTTTGCCAGTCGCTCTTGAGCAGGATGTAGACGCGTTCTCGTACTGCCGATACCCTCAACCGTCGTAACAGCACAACCGTGCATAGCGCATACAGGAGTTAAGCAAGCATTAACAGCCAAATGTCTGATTTCATTAGTGCGACGATCGATACGAGAAAGCATTATTGTACAGGCACCACAGCCACCTTCCCCACAACCCAATTTGGTACCGCATAAAAATAATTTTTCTCTTAAATATGTTAGTAACGTGCATTCTGGATCCGGATTCGGTTCTACGACCTGTAGTAAATAAAATTACCTTTCGAGTTTATTTCGATTTCCATCTTTATGATGTATTTAAAATGAAATACTACGTGAAAGAGAAAAACTAGATTCTTTATTTTCGAAATAGTTCGAATGGATAATAAATTACGTTTCTCTTAGGCCTATCAGCTCCTATGCTTACGTAGGCCGAACGTTGCATTACACCTACACGAAAAGAGAGCTTGAGCGTCTACTCGCTATAATTGCTTGCATAATATCTAAATTTGATTATGAGTTTTGCTATAAGGTGAGTGCAGCCTCAATACCTGTTTTAATAGCTTAATTTGAAAAGTTGTTTACAATCATGTAAAGTAAGGCAAGCACAGACGGACGCCGCTTCTATGCGAAACCCAAAATAAATGTTAATAATAAATCGCAAAATACGTTAATTAGAAAGTACCAGGCATTGTTCAAGCAAACTAAACACAACATTTAAAAGAGTTAAGAGAGAAAGTACTTAAGAGCTTGCAAAAAGTAGAGCAAGAGTAGAAAAATATTGCTAGGCCTTCAAAGATGAACATTTTATCGTTCTAGACATCCACGGATGTAAAAAGAAATTTATGAAATAAGAGAATCGAAGTGTTTTTCAGTAAACCAACAATCATGAAATGTGTTATAAAAAAATTGATGATAAGACGCGCGTGTGCGATTACGAGTATACGAAGAGATAACTGTCTGTTAAAAGCGCCAATGAGGATAAGGAAAAACCCAAAAAATTTAAGAAAACTTTTTCTTTTTCGGCTATATTTCTTGTGATATCTAGTTATTATAAACTGTTAATCTTTCGTTCTTAAAACATTTACTTTACAGTATTCCCCGGAAGATGTAGCTAATTGAAGAAAATACCAGCCAGAAATCAAAGTTTTCCCCATAACGATCTCTTAAGAGCCGCATGAAATAACACAAAATATTTATATTGCTACCGCTCGTTCTTGCCGAAAAGAAGACGTAAAAAGATTTTCTAAAAGTATGGAAGATTTCCCTTATAGGGCGCGGTAATTACTTTATTACAAGATGTAGATGAATGACATGACGCGCACGCAACCTTTACCTTTATTCCCTTACTGAGAATTGTTCTTGTATTTGTCTTGCGTATAAGTTTGTTATTGCCTATTTCGATGCAGATAAATGTACAGCTCATTGTATTTTGCATTGACTTTATCGTTAGTTATTATTTATGATCCGTTCACGTGTACAATAAAAGTGCCTTTTCAAGGCCTGCTAACCTCATCTGACTCTTTCTCCAGGGAAAAATAGCCGCGTTGGTTAAAGTCGTTTGGAAACACACAAGTGAAATCAGTTGAACAGATCACAAACTATATACGGGAAGGAGGCAAAGTAGATTTGCTTTCAGAATTGAAAAGAGTGAGGTTTAATTAAACATTCCCGATACTTTTTGATCATAATGTTACACTGTAAATTCCTGCGCTTGCAGTTTAAAATTGTGAACTTGATAAAAAAAGACAACAACGTTTGTTATACATAATATAATTGAAAAAAATATTAACATCATCTATATAAACAAAACAAAACGAAAAAATCAAATAAATACAAAGTCTTAAAATTTATTGCATACGATTGGCTTTACATTCACATCAACTTGCCTATGTTCGGTTTCCAACCTCTTCCCTATTCCATCATTATCACTTCTATTTTGAATATTGTCGGGATACTGATAACTTTTATGATAATCAACGAACACTTTAAAAAACGCAAACAATTTTCATCTGAGATCTGTTATCTCTTTTTGCAATTGCGACTTGCTATCAGCAGGCAATTAAGAAAACCATTTATGATCCTTAAATAACAATAACAATAAACAACCTACTGCTACTGCAGCTCCCATTAACTTTATAAATTATCTAAAACGTAGGAAGAAAAATTTATTTGAAAAGAAAGTCAAGTAGAACCAAAAAAAAAAAAAGAAGAAATTCACGGTAATTAAAAAACAAAAAAAAAAACAGATCCCAAATTTTTACCTTTTTTCCGTTCACAAAAAATACTAAACTTGAAGATGCTTCATCTGCCATAATTTTCAATTCACACGTAAAACGTTTATGGTAAACGAAAGTCAAGTTATTCTTGAAAAATAAAATTTCTTTTATTCACAATATATATATTTGTCGAAGAAATGCACAAATTAAATTAATAAAATTTTTATAAAAAATAAAAACGCAAGATAAGATTTGATTTGTCGAGAACCACTCAATGCACAACCGTTTTCTTAAAGTTTCAAACGCAATCTAAAATATACCTCTGACGATTGAGCAGACAAATTCTCGCATTACGTTGGACGAAATACAATGCGGCGTAAGAACGAACAACAGTAAGAATTTAACAATTAGACGGAGTGTATATGGATGCATGTACAGTGAGTCGCATTAATATTGGGCTTTTTCGCTCGACAAAAAGTAAACGCTTGTTAAACTTAGTCCATTGCTCAAAGATAAAATTTCTTTAACATCATAATATTAAACATTAATATTTGGAGAGGTATCTTTTCGCTTAATAAAGTCATTTAGATGTTTTGACATATTTTGTAGAATTTTTCTTCTGTAGGAAGCAGACATCTTACTCCATCCCTCATAGAGTCTATTTTTCTGGTCTTGGCAGGCCAATTCATCCCACATGGCTTTCATGGTGTGCCTGGTGATTTGTGCAAGAAGGTGAAACAATTTGGGGTAATTATATAAGAGCCATTTTCGAATTAAACGAGATTTACACTTGAGGTCGTTATCTTGGTAGAATTTGGGTGTTTTCAAAACACAAGTTTCTCCGCTCTTTCTTTCAAATTTTACTTCCATATCCTTAAAAAATCCTCCTTATTTACAATGTCATCTATAAACAACAATTTTCCGACCCCATTGGGCCAAGGCATGCCAAAGTATAAAATGACTATTGCCATGCCCGCCGTAAGCCGTTGATACAAGAACGTAATATAAAGCTAAGACCGGGAAAACACTTTTCTAAGTTAATTTTTTCGACTACATTTGCTCATGAGGCCAAACATAATGTCGTTCCACTAAGAACTGAGTAGTTTTCCTTGGTAAATTCTAGTCTACAAGGCAATTTCTAGTTTGGTCGCGTTAAAGTCACAAATTTGGGTATTTTACCAATTGGGCACATTAAGCCGCCACCTACATATCTCTTTCTCCTTCCTTATTCCTTTGTGATCGCCACCATGTTACACGAATGAAAGATAGCCCCTGAGTGATTAGCGATATAAGAAAAAATTGTGAAATATTTATTACGGACAATTTCCAACATGAAATATTAAAAATTAAATCTCTTTGTCAGTTTGCTTTCCTAGCAAGGCCACTTTTCAAGATTTCAGAATCCTTAGAATGTTTCTAATTTAGTTATTCTAACTTGGTGTTATGTGATTAAATGCTATTGATATATTTCAACTTATGTTAAACGGTTGTGTAGGTTTAAAATATTCTTCTATCCTTAAACACAGTAGAATAATTATGTAGGCATTGAATGAAATTCCATATAGGCTTTCCCATAATTGCTTTTTTAAATGTTATTATCTAAACAACAATATAATTTTGCTATAATTTGAACTCAAAAATTATTCAAAAAAGAAGAAGAAGAACCATAAACGAATTTGTTGGTTTACAGAGAGCGAAAACTGTTACGTATGTGAGACAAAATCTGGCAAGATTGTTAAAAATGAAGAAACAGCTGTTCAAAGAAAAAAACGCTTGCCAAAAAAGCCTAAACAATACATTTATGCCGTAATAAAAAGTTCCAGGTACCAGCTTTTGCAGAAAATCTAAAAAATTTGAATTAAAAAAAAGCAAAGGGTTATTTGATCATGGAGGACGAACCGAAAAAGGTCAATAAACATAATTCAATTATTACCTAATAGCGGACATTTATTTTATTATTTCAGGGCCTAAGTTTATTTGGACGTGATGTATCGGAAATACCTTGCTTTCGAAATAGTTTTCTTTATGGAATAGGTGGCGGTATCGGTGCGGGTTTAATTACATTTTTAGGTACTTCACGAACTACATTCTCTACGCACGTAGGATTTGGTACTTTCTTCGTCGGCACATTAGTTTATTGGTCCTGGTGCAGGTAAACGGAATAAATGTAAAATTAATTGTAAGCAAGTGTATAATGTTTTGTTTAATGTCTCCTTGTATCGTTTAAAATCGCACACACAAAAACAAACAGATAACCGATATTTGAGATACATTAGGTCTACGGGAAAGTTCCGTCCGTTCCGGTCGCAAAGTTTAGTGCTGCCAGAGCAGCGATTGTGTATCCAATACTACTGATAAAATTCTTTACATGATTGTATTCTGTATAAGTTTCAACAAGGAAAGAATTCTGCAGAAGTTTGCAAAAATTTATGGAACGTGTTTGGTGAAGGCATAGGGTCTGATAGAACATGCCGAAAATGATTCGAAAAAATTCAAAGATACAATTTCGCCCTTACTAGTAAGCCGCACGCTTTTGGCGACCATCTGTAATCGAGGGCGACACTGTCGAGATCATTTTAAAATAAACTCATATTATTTTTCAAATCTTTCGGAAATTGTGACCTGGTTCAGATCACCAAAATAGGATTTTGTTTTATACTAAAAACGGATGGAACTTCCTGGTAGAGCCACTGCATTCCTAAATAGTTTTTTAACATAAATTTTAACGGGTTATCATTTGTTAATCCACTCTTAAATGCAATGCAGACGCGACGACTCATCGCCCAATTCTCGACGTTTTGTATTTAGCTTCGCACATAAGCAGAATACAATCACAATAATCTCTGTTAAAAATAATCAGCCAAAGCGACAGTCTATCAGTTGTTTTACGTCGTTAGTTATTTGTACGGTGCTAGTACAAAAGTTATCTATCGTCCACATAAACGCAAATTTTATAATAATTGATTGTAAAGATAACAACTTTAGGGAAGTCATGAAAAAAAAGGTTGATCTTCTTATTCCGTGTACCCAGAAAAGACTGACAATAATTCCAATAATGTTACGTAATCATAAATGTCTGCTTGCATTAATCCAAATAGCTAAAAGAAATGTTTTAGTGGGCGAAACTATTAGGTCAAGTCATAAATGATTTTCGATGCAGCTACGTAGAACCTATTATTTGCATTTATCCACTATAAGTCACTGAAACAAACCAGTTTTTTTTTACTATATAGATAAGGTAAGAAATGGAGAGTCGAAAACTACATATACTTTGGAAACTTAAACAAGACAATAGAGTTAAGGCGACAGCTGAAAAAACATGCAGCGTTTGCCGTGAAGGACATTATAACTGATCGGCCAGTTAGAAATTGGTTTGTAAAATTCCGTTCTGGAGATACGATTTTAAAAGACGAGACGTCTGTCCGACTTTGACGACAATATTTTAAAGGCAATCTTGCAGCAAATTCCGCGCCAATCAACAAGAGGTATAGCAAAAAGATCAATCAACTTTTAAATTAATACAATTTTGTTACTCAGTGTAAACTGAATAAATGTCTGATAAAAAATAGCGAAGTTATTTATGACTCGACCTAATATGTATTTTTGTGCCACTTTTACTATCTGCTTGTTGAGGTGTTTGGTGGACGTAAGATTTTTTTCTAAAATGAGCATGATTGTTTATTTATTATTTTCTATTTATAATGAAACTATATAAAGTTTTTATAACTAGGTATCAATGGTCAGTACATCGTTTTGAATACGCCAAATTACAAGAAGGTCTTCGGAACAAAGCGTTATATGAGGGCACCGATGTGGAAAGGGAATTAGAATTGAAATCCGCGTAACTTTTATTCTTATACCCGATTACGATTATTGTTCCTCTACAAAATACAAAGAGTTTCTTTAGGCAGGAGAAGTATTTTAAAGCTCAAGATATAAAGAGCAAACGATTGTTTTCACTAACATTTCTTGTTGATAATTTTTAAAATTAACGTGATATTAAATAAGTTTAAGAAAGGTAAAGTAACTCAACATATGGAAAATATATGAAAAAAATAAAAATGTATATATAAATTATATATATGTATATATATATGTATATATGTTGTATATGTATATATGTTGTTTGCACAGGGAAGTGAATCAGTGTTTGTTTCATTTATATATGCAAGCGCATCTATTTTTGGTATCAAGAAAACATTGTGCAAAGGCGTTAATGGCATGTTTCGGAAAAATGTTGTAATTTTTGGGAAAAATTTTTTGCTGTTACCTTGGAAGCAAATTCGAAAATCTCAGAAAACATTAAATTAATTTGAAAAATTATAAAAATGTTCATAATCTATACGGTCTGTTCGAAGCATTTCGTTTAAAGCTCTTTTAATGCAATATTAAAACAAAAATTTGTGTATATTTAAATATATTCATCATTTCTCTTCTTTTTTTTTTTTTTATTTACTTACACATGAAACTCAGCGAAAACAAATTCAATTGATTCTTAGAAGTAAACCTTACATTAGTTAATAATAAAAACTAGTATAAAGTATATAAGGAGAAGTAAAGAAAGAAAAAATAATAATAATAGCAATTAAATAATAATTCATGTATAAATAAATAAGAAAGAAAAAAAAGAATAGCATGCACACGACTACCACATAGGCACACCTGCAACCAGTACAGAACCAAATTGTAAGTGAACCCCTAATCGACGGTACCATTAAACAATTTAATTCAGAATGAGACGCTAAGAATAAATCTACGTTTCTCAAGTAACAGAAGTAACCTTTTTTAATAAGGAGGCAAAGAGACAAGCCGGTACCAACCTAAATTCCTAAGATCAAACAGCAAGAATTGCTTTTGAATATATATAAGATGAAAATCTCGTTTGCTAAGAAATTTTGAAAATTTACAATTTTTTACAATTTCTCATATAATGGCTTTTCAAAATAGGGCGTTATATAGGAAGTGGTCGAAAAAGTGGCCTGAAACGAACCATTCTCAATAGCCCTCGTCCTTTGACCAAAATACGTCACTACACGAAATTTCATCAAAATGTCTCAAAAATTGAGACCTACAACTTGGATACAAATTCACATGGACGGATGGGCTTAGATCAATTCAGATTATCATTCCGAATCAATCCGAGTAATAAAAGGTGAATTTATGTTAAGCCCTCCTGTCTGTTATATACGTACGCACTAACTAAGTATACCCTGTACCACAAGTGGTGTCGGGCATGATTAACAAATGATTGTACCAACTGAGGGACATTCTACCTGGCCTTAACGCGCAGGCAAGCGCATTTTAGTAACCTTTATTTTGCTTTTTGGATGTTGGGATTAAATGAACTTAAGGTCCCTACTTTGCGAAAATAAAATAGATCAAATCTTTTGTTTTTGTTTTTTATTATTAATATGGTTTAATAGAAAATGAATTTATTTCATATATAAATGTAATAAGAATTTAGGTAAATTAACTTAAACCTGAATAACAGTTCAATGAATTGCTTTCGAAGATGGCGATGAGGATGATGAGAAGTATGTTTTGTTTTTACAAATGATTTTTGCTCCTTCCATCGTTTGGCGAAGGGGGAAATGGTGTATAAAAAGGAACGAAAAAAATGAATATTGATGGAATGTGATATCTCTTAAACAATTAAGATATAACAATTAAGTTGTGGGAAATTTTTAGTCGACTTCTTCCACAGTAGGTCCGTCACCACGGCCGAAATTACCGGCTTGCTGTCCACAATTGGCGGATCGAGAACCAGCTCCACCACCAGCGCCTTGTTGTTGATGCATTTTTGTCATCACCGGCTGGCAGATTTTGGTCAACTCCTCCAATTTGTAATCAAACTCTTCCTTCTCGGCAGTGGTATTGCTATCTAACCATTTGATAGTTTCCGTACATTTCTCCATTAAACGACTTTTGTCTGATGAGGGTACTTTATCACCGGCCTCTTCCAGAGCTTGCTTAACTCCAAACACATAAGTCTCTAATTGATTACGAGATGCGATGCGCTGACGGTGTTTTTCATCTTCGTCAGCATATTTTTCAGCTTCGTTGACCATGCGATCAATATCAGCCTGCGACAGGCGACCCTTATCGTTCTTTATGGTAATGTTCTTAGCATTGCCTGTGCTCATTTCCTTGGCCGTCACATTTAATATACCATTGGCATCGAGATCAAAGGTTACGTCTATTTTTGGTACACCTCGCGGCGCTGGAGGTATGCCTGTTAAATTAAAAGTTCCCAGCAAGTTGTTATCTTTCGTCATAGTACGTTCGCCTTCAAATACTTGAATGGTAACTGCCGGCTGATTGTCAGCATATGTGGTGAACGTTTTACTTTGCTTACAAGGTATACGACTGTTGCGTTCAATTATTTTAGTCATAACACCACCAGCAGTTTCTATGCCGAGCGATAAGGGAGCTACGTCCACTAATAACACATCCTGAATTTCACTGCTCTTATCTCCACTCAGAATTGCTGCTTGAATAGCTGCACCGTAAGCCACCGCTTCGTCCGGATTTATAGACAGATTTAGACTCTTACCGCAAAAGAACTGTTGCAATAGATTCTGCACTTTCGGAATACGAGTGGACCCTCCAACCATGACAATGTCGTGAATTTGATTTTTGTCCATCTTAGCATCATTTAACGCTTTCTCTACAGGTTGCAACGTTTGGCGGAACAAGTCGGCACAAAGTTCCTCAAAACGAGCACGACTCACTTTGGTATAGAAATCAATACCTTCAAATATAGCATCGATTTCAATAGTAGCCTCCGAGCTCGATGACAATGTGCGTTTAGCGCGTTCAGCTGCTGTGCGTAAACGACGCAAAGCTCGAGGGTTCGATCGTAAATCTTTCTTATACTTTCGTTGAAACTCGGTCGCGAAATGATTAACTAATCGACTATCGAAATCCTCGCCGCCCAGATGCGTGTCGCCTGCAGTTGCTCGGACTTCAAATAATGAACCTTCATCAATGGTTAAAATGGATACATCAA